CTGGCGGTGGAGGCAGCGGAGGCGGCGGAGGATACGGTGGATCCTCTGGTGGTGGAGGCAGCGGAGGCGGCGGAGGCTACCGTGGATCCTCTGGTGGTGGAGGTGGCGGTGGCTACAGTGCATCCTCTGGTGGTGGAGGTAGCGGAGGCGGCGGAGGCTACGGTGGATCCTCTGGTGGTGGAGGCAGCGGTGGCAGTATGTATGGTGGAGGCGGCGGTGGCAGTATGTATGGAAAGTAAATATTTCTACTATTCCACTGACGTACTCTTCTCTAACTTCCTACCTCTGGTATTAACAGTGTGGACATCGTCCTTCATCGTATTGTCATCTACATGTATCAGCCAGATGACGCAACACATCATCTCTTCAGTTCATCATTCTATTACATTAAACTAATGTGATGTTAGTTAATTTACTGCACATTATAATCTATGTAATTTACTGTTTCTGTTACAAAAGTTTGTCTTATTTTTTCTATAAACGTGTGTACGATTATGTTGAGAAGTAAACTGTTAACTGAAATAATGCCCTTTATTTTATATTGATCCATCACCTTGTTATATACTGAGTGTATAAACTAAATAACCGCAATGACATTTATATTATATTTTTCATCATTCTTCAATATACTGAGTGTATAATTGACTTATGGTATTACAAGTAACGGAATATATATTTTTAAGATATTCCCATGAAAACATGACTATGAATGTTTACTTTCCTCTATGGACCTTAAAATTGAAGAAAAAACAAAAAAAGTTTTACAAGATATAATTCAGCGACAGATACCTGGGTTAAACACATACGTCCATTTGATATATCAGTTTTATGTGAGGAAGTATGACTAATAAGGCCAATGAATCTATATTTTAAGGAATTTCGGATTAAAGGCAATACTAGGGAGACTGGTAAAAGATATATGGAACAGTTTCATGGCAAATGACATCGATTACTGGGCTCCATTCTTGTTAAATCGTACATTATGGCAGTGTCTATTCACTGTTCAATTGCTGCTTCCTAATAAATTTATTTAAAAAGAAACGGGACTTCATGTTTGGTTCAGGCTCTGGTGCTGAGGCGTTTGAGGTCTTTTTGCAAGACTAAAATATAATTAATGTAACAGAGCATTATAGTTAATGTTATCCAGAAGACATTAGTAAGGATATGTTTATTGTTAGCCCAATTAACCATCTGTTAAAATATCGATATTTTATTAATACACATAAACACATATATGGAAATAATTTAGCAGGTAAATGTATAACAGGGACTTCAAATATGGCAATGATAAGATTGACAAGTTTAACCTATTATTATTAGATGATATTTTATTATCATCCAGGTTATTATCTGTAAAGGAGATAAAGAATGGATGATTTACTGCATTGTAAAATATTTACAATATTTTCAATATTCTATAGAAAAAGTGTTGTAAGATTTATTTGAAGTATATGCTGTTAGGTTTTAATTAGCATATTTATTTTTTTATTGAAGTTAAGAAATATTTCGAAATAGATTCATAGAAAACTTTATATATGAAAAAGAATATTAATCATGATCCCCTTAGATAAAAAAATTTTTTCTTAGGAATATAATGAAAGATTAGTTACCTTATATACCTATGGATAACAAGAAGGAACCATTACACCCAATAACACACGGGTATCGACTCCATTAATTACCATTAGGTTTTTAATGCTCCTTAATTTTGCATCTCTGGTTACAGTGACTGTGTGTATTAGTTACACTGATATAATATCGAGGATGGAAATTACATATGCATGTTACACTCTGGAGAATTTGGATAATAATTTACAACTTCTATAGTTCGATAATTAAATTTAACCAAAATTTGTAATTGCTATATAGGTTTGATGGAGGTCTTACCATACACATGGGGTGATTACATCGGTAATGTAATTGATTACATGTACGATTGGGTTATAATTTTATGATTATGATTATGATTACGGTAAAGGTGGATGTAATCGATTATGATTACGATTTCATGATGCGTAATTATGATTACATTTATGATTACTTCAAAAGGAAAGTGCATAAATAAACAAAAGTACTATAAAAACTCATTTTACAGACCTGTTTGTCAACCTGGTACAATTTAATCATATTTTCTGAGTGATGAAAAAGGTAGACATAATGGTGTGAGTATTCAATAGACACGATAACATATCTTTAATAGATGGATCTAAATTTTCATAAGATTAATGTGGAAATCATGAATACAGAAATGTATTTGACCTAAATATCTCTGAAGTATTCTGAAGTTTTGAAATATTATTAACACAAATGCTTATAGAAGGGGAGTAATTTAGTGCTCTGATAAAATGAAATGTGTGGTATACTGCATACTCTGATATACTGAAAATATTACTTTCAATAAAGGTGGATTATAACAAAAATACTGTAATATTAAATTTCATATTTAACATTCATTTTTTCTTAGACAAGAATAATACGTCAAAGGTTGTGAAACATTGTGTCTATTCTTTCAAAGACAGTTTAAAGAACGATCTAATGCTATTCATTTACACAAATAATACGTACAGAACATAATATACATTAATAACGTTAAGAAAATATTGATTGACTACACTTTCTCCGGACAGGTTACTAGGAGTTAGAATATTACAGACAAAATGTAGATGGTGAATGTTTGCCGAGTCGTATAAAGGACCGAATGTAGATGACAGTATTGAAGATCATGAGCTCAGTATTGTCAAACGAAGTACCGATTTGTAATTACTATTGTAATATAAATTTTCTTAGTGTGTATATATATATATATATATATATATATATATATATATATATATATATAAATGCTTATTGAAAGAGCATGTCAGCCAAAAGGCTGAAAATATGTGTGTGTGTGTGTGTGTGTGTGTGTGTGTGTGTGTGTGTGCGTTTGTTTATAATTATTCATAAGTTGTTATTACCTTGAAAACATTTAAATGGCTTAAATCTTTGTCAGTATCTTTAAATTAAGTTGGGAGAACGTTACTTAAAAAATAGTGCATATAACTGCATGTAGAAAATCTTAATGTATACACGATGCGCAGATGGGGATTTGAAAGGAATTTATTTCCCTCGATTCGACCGAGTCATGAAAGACAATAAAGATGATATGCACTTGACCGTGAAATGTAATAGGACATTAAGCAATATTATTGTGCAACATCTTCAAGAAGAGTATAAAGGTTGCAATACTAAGAGTGCGAGTCAGTACATCCAAAGTCAGCTCACAGGCAGCATGGTGAGAATCTCTCTACTGACACTATCACGTGTTAATGTTTAGTTAGTGTTGAGTTTGGTGAAGAGTTAATTATTCTTGTTAAAGAGAAGTTATTAAAAGTTTTCACGATTAGAATCAATACCAAAAGACAAGACTTTTTTAATTAGTTTTATTCGAGGAAGATATTCGGTGAAAGATTTCACGTGATTTATTTAGACTATACCCTAATAACACTCTTGGTAAAACAAAAGCAAGGATGCAACATATTATGCCGCAAGCAACACTCAGAGCTGCGTCATGACGTGCAATATATAAAAGGCCCCGATCCAATAGAGAAGTCAGACGATTGGCGGGGAGCGCAGAGGCAACATGGTGAGCACCTCGTTACCTACTATCACAGGGCACAGTTATACAGTCACCTTTAAGTTTGCCGAATTGTACACAACGTTTGAGAAAGGTGTTGATGAGAATGAAATGCACAAAATGCGGAACAGGTTTGTCCAAGTGCAAATAATTTATCTAAGAATAATGAGTACGACAAATACGAGACGAGAGAATAAACTTTAAGTCTAACCAATTACAATGGTTTTAAAGTGTTTTAGATATGTTACGTGTACTTGAAAATTTTCTTAGTGTAAACAATATCTCAGAAACAAAAGTTTGAACATGTTCCAAACAGTAGAAAGGACAATCACGATACTCATCATTTGATGTGGGTGTACTTCACCAGATAAAATTAAAACTCAATTGAAAAATTTGAATGTTTTAAAAGTTATCTGGAATGGAAGTAGTTTTGGCCACAGGTATATTCCCATACAAAGACATTACACACACAAACGCTGTACATAACATTAAGTCCATATATATTATGAGTTCTCTCAATAATCGTATTACCAAAAGTGTACCATCAACAGTTCTTCCACATATAATAGGTGAGACTTCATAAGGAACATTTACGTTCAAATGCCCCGAAAATAACATGACACAAATATAAGTATATTTAGTAATATTCAATCATACACCTTGATATTTCAGAGGCAAGGTGCAGGCGTGGTGATCCTCGCCGTGTTGGTGGTAGCCTGTATCGCGGACTTCAGAGGTGGAGGAGGAAGCCATGGTGGAGGAGGAGGGGGAGGAGGTGGAAGCAGCTATAGCAGCGTAGGAGGTGGTGGCGGAGGTGGCCATGGAGGAGGAGGGGGAGGAGGAAGAGGAGGAAGAGGAGGTGGAGGATATAGCGCTCCATCTGGTGGAGGAGGAAGTGGAGGTGGAGGACATGGTGGAGGCGGTGGTGGCGGAGGCGGTGGTGGAGGTTACGGTGGTTCCTCCAGCGGCGGCGGAGGGAACATGTACGGTGGTGGCGGTGGCGGAGGAAGTATGTATGGCGGGTCTTCTGGTGGCAGCAGTGGTGGTGGTGGAGGATATGGTGGATCTTCAAGTGGCGGAAGCGGCGGAGGCTACGGTGGATCCTCTGGTGGTGGAGGCAGCGGCGGCGGCGGAGGCTATAGTGGATCCTCTGGTGGTGGAGGCGGCGGAGGCTACAGAGGATCCTCTGGCGGTGGTGGCAGCAGGCGGCGGAGGCTGGTGGATCCTCTGAAGTGGTGGAGGCGGCGGGCTACGGTGGATCCTCCTGGTGGTGGAGAAACAGCGGAAGCGGCGGAGATGCAGTGGATCTTCTGGTGGTGGAGGCAGTGGAAGCGGCAGGGGCTACGGTGGATCCTCTGGTGGTGGAGGCAGCGGGCGGCGGGTACAGGCGGATCCTCTGAGTGGTGGAGGCAGCGGAGGGGTGCAGTGGATCCTCTGGCGGTGAAACAGCAGGCGGCGGAGGATCACAGTGGATCACTCTCTGGTGGTGGAAGGCAGCAGGAGGCTGAGTGGATCCTCTGGCGGTGGAGGCAACAGGCGGCGGAGGCTACGGTAGATCCTCTGGCGGTGGAAACTAACAGAGCGAGCGGAGGCTACGGTGGATCCTCTGGTGGTGGAGGCGGCGGTGGCTACGGTGGATCCTCTGGTGGTGGAGGTAGCGGAGGAGGCGGAGGTTACGGTGGATCCTCTGGTGGTGGAGGCAGCGGTGGCAGTATGTATGGTGGAGGCGGCGGTGGCAGTATGTATGGAAAGTAAATATTTCTACTACTCCACTGACGTACTCTTCTCTAACTTCCTACCTCTGGTATTAACAGTGTGGACATCGTCCTTCATCGTATTGTCATCTACATGTATCAGCCAGATGACGCAACACATCATCTCTTCAGTTCATCATTCTATTACATTAAACTAATATGATGTTAGTTACTTTACTGCACACTATAATCTATGTAATTTACTGTTTCTGTTACAAAAGTTTGACTTATTTTTTCTATAAACGTGTTTACGATTATGTTGAGAAGTAAACTGTTAACTGAAATAATGCCCTTTATTTTATATTGATCCATCACCTTTAATATACTGAGTGTATAAACTGTTAACTGTACGATGCCATTTATATTATATTCTTTCATCATCTTCAATATACTGAGTGTATAATTGACTTATGGTATTACAAGTAACGGAATATATATTTTTAAGATATTCCCATGAAAACATGACTATGAATGTTTACTTTCCTCTATGGACCTTAAAATTGAAGAAAAAACAAAAAAAGTTTTACAAGATATAATTCAGCGACAGATACCTGGGTTAAACACATACGTCCATTTGATATATCAGTTTTATGTGAGGAAGTATGACTAATAAGGCCAATGAATCTATATTTTAAGGAATTTCGGATTAAAGGCAATACTAGGGAGACTGGTAAAAGATATATGGCACAGTTTCATGGCAAATGACATCGATTACTGGGCTCCATTCTTGTTAAATCGTACATTATGGCAGTGTCTATTCACTGTTCAATTGCTGCTTCCTAATAAATTTATTTAAAAAGAAACGGGACTTTTGGTTCAGGCTCTGGTGCTGAGGCGTTTGAGGTCTTTTAGCAAGACTAAAATGTAATTAATGTAACAGAGCATTATAGTTAATGTTATCCAGAAGACATTAGTAAGGATATGTTTATTGTTAGCCCAATTAACCATCTGTTAAAATATCGATATTTTATTAATACACATGAACACATACATGTAAATAATTTAGCAGGTAAATGTATATCAGGGACTTCATATATGGCAATGATAAGATCGACAAGTTTAACCTATTATTATTAGATATTTTATTATCATCCAGGTTATTATCTATAAAGGAGATAAAGAATGGATGATTTACTGCATTGTAAAATATTTACAATATTTTCAATATTCTATAGAAAAAGTGTTGTAAGATTTATTTGAAGTATCTGCTGTAAGGCTTTAATTAGCATATTTATTTTTTTATTTAAATAAAGAAATATTTCGAAATAGATTCATAGAAAACTTTAAATATGAAAAAGAATATTAATCATTATCCCCTTAGGTATATAAAACTTTTCTTAGGAATATAATGATAGATTATTTACCTTATATACCTATGGATAACAAGAAGGAACCATTACACCCAATAACACACGGGTATCGACTCCATTAATTACCATTAGGTTTTTAATGCTCCTCAATTTTGCATCTCTGGTTACAGTGACTGTGTGTATTAGTTACACTGATATAACATCGTGGATGGAAATTACATATGCATGTTACACTCGGGAGAATTTGGATAATAACTTACAACTTCTATATTTCGATAATTAAACTTAACCAAGATTTATAATTGCTATATAGGTTTGATGGAGGTCTTACCATACACATGGGGTGATTACATCGGTAATGTAATTGATTACAATTACGATTGCGCTATAATTTTATGATTACGGTAAAGATGGATGTAATCGATTATGATACGATTTCATGATGCGTAATTATGATTACATTTATGATTACTTCAAAAGGAAAGTGCATAAATATACAAAAGTACTATAAAAATTCATTTTACAGACCTGTTTGTCAACCTGGTACAATTTAATCATATTTTCTGAGTGATGAAAAAGGTAGACATAATGGTGTGATTATTCAATAGACACGAAAACAAATCTTTAATAGATGGATCTAAATTTTCATAAGATTAATGTGGAAATCATGAATACAGAAATGTATTTGACCTAAATATCTCTGAAGTGTTCTGAAGTTTTGGAATATTATTAACACAAATGCTTATAGAACGGGAGTAATTTGGTTCTCTGATAAAATGAAATGTGTGGATTATAACAAAAATACTGTAATATTAAATTTCATATTTAACATTCATTTTTTCTTAGACAAGAATAATACGTCAAAGGTTGCGAAACATTGTGTCTATTCTTTCAAAGACAGTTTAAAGAACGATCTAATGCTATTCATTTACACAAATAAAACGTACAGAACATAATATACATTAATAACGTTAAGAAAATATTGATTGACTACACTTTCTCCGGACAGGTTACTAGGAGTTAGAATATTACAGACATAATGTAGATGGTGAATGTTTCCCGAGTCGTATAAAGGACCGAATGTAGTTGACAGTATTGAAGATCATGAGCTCAGTATTGTCAAATGAAATACCGGTTTGTACTTACTATTGTAATATAAATTTTACTAGTGTATATATCTATATGTATATATATAAATGCTTATTGAAAGGGCATGTCAGCCAAAAGGCTGAAAATATGTATGTGTGTGTGTGTGTGTGTGTGTGTGTGTGTGTGCGTTTGTTCATAATTATTCATAAGTTGTTATTACCTTGAAAACATTTAAATGGCTTAAATCTTTGTTAGTATCCTTAAAATAAGTTGGGAGAACGTTACTTAAAAAATAGTGCATATAACTGCATGTACAAAATCTTAATGTATACACGATGCGCAGATGGGGATTTGTAAGAATTTATTTCCATCGATTCGACCGAGTCATAAAAGACAATAAAGATGATATGCACTTGACCGTGAAATGTAATAGGACATTAAGCAATATTATTGTGCAACATCTTCAAGAAGAGTATAAAGGTTGCAATACTAAGAGTGTGAGTCAGTACATCCAAAGTCAGCTCACAGGCAGCATGGTGAGAATCTCTCTACTGACACTATCGCGTGTTAATGTTTAGTTAGTGTTGAGTTTGGTGAAGAGTTAATTATTCTTGTTAAAGAGAAGTTATTAAACGTCTTCACGATTAGAATCAATACCAAAAGATAAGACTTATTATTAATTAGTTTTATTCGAGGAAGATATTCGGTGAAAGATTTCACGTGATATATTTAGACTATCCGCTAATAACACTGTTGGTAAAACAAAAGCAAGGATGCAACATATTATGCTGCAAGCAACACTCCGAGCTGCGTCATGACGTGCAAAATATAAAAGGCCCCGATCCAATAGAGAAGTCAGACGATTGGCGGGGAGTGCAGAGGCAACATGGTGAGCACCTCGTTACCTACTATCACAGGGCACAGTTATACAGTCACCTTTAAGTTTGCCGAATTGTACACAACGTTTGAGAAATGTGTTGATGAGAATCAAACGCACAAAATCCGGAACAGGTTTGTCCAAGTGTAAATAATTTATCTAAGAATAATGAGTTAGACAAATACGAGACGAGAGAATAAACTTTAAGTCTAAACAATTACAATGGTTTTAAAGTGTTTTAGATATGTTACGTGTACTTGAAAATGTTCTTAGTGTAAACAATATCTCAGAAACAAAAGTTTAAACATGTTCCAAACAGTAGAAAGGACAATCACGATACGCATCATTTGATGTGGGTGTACTTCACCAGATAAAATTAAAACTCTATTGAAAAATTTGAATGTTTTAAACGTTATCTGGAATGGAAGTAGTTTTGGCCACAGGTATATTCCCATACAAAGACATTACACACACAAACGCTGTACATAACATTAAGTCCATATATATTATGAGTTCTCTCAATAATCGTATTACCAAAACTGTACCATCAACAGTTCTTCCACATATAATAGGTGAGACTTCATAAGGAACATTTACGTTCAAATGCCCCGAGAATAACATGACACAAATATAAGTATATTTAGTAATATTCAATCATACACCTTGATATTTCAGAGGCGAGGTGTAGGCGTGGTGATCCTCGCCGTGTTGGTGGTAGCCTGTATTGCGGACTTCAGAGGTGGAGGAGGAAGCCATGGTGGAGGAGGAGGAAGCCACGGTGGAGGAGGAGGGGGAGGAGGTGGAAGCAGCTATAGCAGCGTAGGAGGTGGTGGCGGAGGTGGCCATGGAGGTGGAGGGGGAGGAGGAGGAGGAAGAGGAGGTGGAGGATATAGCGCTCCATCTGGTGGAGGAGGAAGTGGAGGTGGAGGACATGGTGGAGGCGGTGGTGGAGGTTACGGTGGTTCCTCCAGCGGCGGCGGAGGGGACATGTACGGTGGTGGCGGTGGCGGAGGAAGTATGTATGGCGGGTCTTCTGGTGGCAGCAGTGGTGGTGGTGGAGGATATGGTGGATCTTCAAGCGGCGGAAGCGGCGGAGGTTACGGTGGATCCTCTGGTGGTGGAGGCGGCGGAGGATACGGTGGATCCTCTGGTGGTGGAGGCAGCGGAGGCGGCGGAGGATACGGTGGATCCTCTGGTGGTGGAGGCGGCGGAGGATACGGTGGATCCTCTGGTGGTGCAGGCAGCGGAAGCGGTGGAGGTTACGGTGGTTCCTCTGGTGGTGGAGGCGGCGGAGGATACGGTGGATCCTCTGGTGGTGGAGGCAGCGGAAGCGTGGCTGGAGGTTGGGGCCTCTGGCGGTGGAGGCAGCAGGAGTGGTGGATCCTCTGGTGGTGGAGGCGGCAGGCTACGGTGGATCCTCTGGCGGTGGAGGCAGCGGAGGCGGCGGAGGATACGGTGGATCCTCTGGTGGTGGAGGCAGCGGAGGCGGCGGAGGCTACCGTGGATCCTCTGGTGGTGGAGGTGGCGGTGGCTACAGTGCATCCTCTGGTGGTGGAGGTAGCGGAGGCGGCGGAGGCTACGGTGGATCCTCTGGTGGTGGAGGCAGCGGTGGCAGTATGTATGGTGGAGGCGGCGGTGGCAGTATGTATGGAAAGTAAATATTTCTACTATTCCACTGACGTACTCTTCTCTAACTTCCTACCTCTGGTATTAACAGTGTGGACATCGTCCTTCATCGTATTGTCATCTACATGTATCAGCCAGATGACGCAACACATCATCTCTTCAGTTCATCATTCTATTACATTAAACTAATGTGATGTTAGTTAATTTACTGCACATTATAATCTATGTAATTTACTGTTTCTGTTACAAAAGTTTGTCTTATTTTTTCTATAAACGTGTGTACGATTATGTTGAGAAGTAAACTGTTAACTGAAATAATGCCCTTTATTTTATATTGATCCATCACCTTTAATATACTGAGTGTATAAACTGTTAACTGTACGATGCCATTTATATTATATTCTTTCATCATTCTTCAATATACTGAGTGTATAATTGACTTATGGTATTACAAGTAACGGAATATATATTTTTAAGATATTCCCATGAAAACATGACTATGAATGTTTACTTTCCTCTATGGAGCTTAAAATTGAAGGAAAAAACAAAAAAAGTTTTACAAGATATAATTCAGCGACAGATACCTGGGTTAAACACATACGTCCATTTGATATATCAGTTTTATGTGAGGAAGTATGACTAATGAGGCCAATGAGTCTGTATTTTAGGGAATTTCGGATTAAAGGCAATACTAGGGAGACTGGTGAAAGATAAATGGCACAGTTTCATGGCAAATGACATCGATTACTGGGCTCCATTCATGTTAAATCGTACATTATGGCAGTGTCTATTCACTGTTCAATTGCTGCTTCCTAATAAGTTTATTTAAAAAGAAACGGGACTTCATGTTTGGTTCAGGCTCTGGTGCTGAGGCGATTGAGGCCTTTTAGCACGACTAAAATATAATTAATGTAACAGAGCATTATAGTTAATGTTATCCAGAAGACATTAGTAAGGATATGTTTATTGTTAGCCCAATTAACCATCTGTTAAAATATCGATATTTTATTAATACACATGAACACATACATGTAAATAATTTAGCAGGTAAATGTATTTCAGGGACTTCATATATGGCAATGATAAGATCGACAAGTTTAATCTATTATTATTAGATGATATTTTATTATCATCCAGGTTATTATCTATAAAGGAGATAAAGAATGGATGATTTACTGCATTGTAAAATATTTACAATATTTTCAATATTCTATAGAAAAGGTGTTGTAAGATTTATTTGAAGTATATGATGTTAGGCTTTAATTAGCATATTTAGTTTTTTATTTAAGTTAAGAAATATTTCGAAAAAGATTCATAGAAAACTTTATATATGAAAAAGAATATTAATCATTATCCCCGTAGATATAAAAAACTTTACTTAGGAAAATCATAAAAGATTAGTTAACTTATCTACCTATGGATAACAAGAAGGAAACATTACACCCAATAACACACGGGTATCGACTCCATTAATTACCATTAGGTTTCTAATGCTCCTTAATTTTGCATCTCTAGTTACAGTGAATGTGTGTATCAGTTACACTGATATAACATCGAGGATGGAAATTACATATGCATGTTACACTCGGGAGAATTTGGATAATAATTTACAACTTCTATAGTTCGATAATTAAACTTAACCAAGATTTGTAATTGCTATACAGATTTGTTGGAGGTCTTACCATACTCATGGGGTGATTACATCGGTAATGTAATTGATTACATTTACGATTGGGTTATAATTTTATGATTATGATTATGATTACGATAAAGGTGGATGTAATCGATTATGATTACGATTTCATGATGCGTAATTATGATTACATTTATGATTACTTCAAAAGGAAAGTTCATAAATAAACAAAAGTACTATAAAAACTCATTTTACAGACCTGTTTGTCAACCTGGTACAATTTAATCATATTTTCTGAGTGATGAAAAAGGTAGACATAATGGTGTGAGTATTCAATAGACACGAAAACAAATCTTTAATAGATGAATCTAAATTTTCATAAGATTAATGTGGAAATCATGAATACAGAAATGTATTTGATCTAAATATCTCTGAAGTGTTCTGAAGTTTTGAAATATTATTAACACAAATGCTTATAGAAGGGGAGTAATTTAGTGCTCTGATAAAATGAAATGTGTGGTATACTGTATACTCAGATATACTGAAAATATTACTTTCAATAAAGGTGGATTATAACAAAAATACTGTAATATTAAATTTCATATTTAACATTCATTTTTTCTTAGACAAGAATAATACGTCAAAGGTTGTGAAACATTGTGTCTATTCTTTCAAAGACAGTTTAAAGAACGATCTAATGCTATTCATTTACACAAATAAAACGTACAGAACATAATATACATTAATAACGTTAAGAAAATATTGATTGACTACACTTTCTCCGGACAGGTTACTAGGAGTTAGAATATTACAGACAAAATGTAGATGGTGAATGTTTGCCGAGTCGTATAAAGAACCGAATGTAGATGACAGTATTGAAGATCATGAGCTCAGTATTGTCAAATGAAATACCGGTTTGTACTTACTATTGTAATATAAATTTTACTAGTGTATATATATATGTATATATATAAATGCTTATTGAAAGGGCATGTCAGCCAAAAGGCTGAAAATATGTGTGTGTGTGTGTGTGTGTGTGTGTGTGTGTGTGTGTGTGTGTGTGTGTGTGTGTGTGTAATTAACGGTTTATTGAAAGGGCTTGGCAGCCAGAAGGCTGAAAATATACAGTTACATAGTTGGGGAATGGGTTACGAATTACAAATAATATACAAGTGACATAAGTGACACAAATAAGACATATAGTAACTTAGATGGGGATCAGCTCAAAATACAGTTCATTTCAACATAGTGACAGTGTAGGGAGCAGTGTTTACTGGGAGTGAATACACTGATTTATTACATGTTATTGATAATTTTTACAATGGTTGGGACTGGGCTGTTCTTATAGCGATCAGTTCGTGCACGTATGGGCTGGATGCGGTTGTGGTGTCGAACAGCAATTCTCGGGCTAGGGATCTCAGGTGGTAGTAGGAGCCGGTGTCGAGGATAGTGTAGAAGCTTCTTACCAAATTTGCAAATGAGGTCGTGGTGATGGTCAGTGAGAGTCGAAAGGGGCAGTGTGTTGAGCGCTTCTTGATATGTGGAGTAGGAAGGGGAGAGAATAATCTTGCATGCCCTTCTTTGCACTTTTTCTAGGTGTTTACGTTGTGTGGCATTTAGGGAGGAAGACCAGGTGGGGGAGGCATAGGTGAGCTTGGGAAGTATGAATGTTGTGTAAACACTGAGGAGCTCAGGTGCAGGAACTCCGAGGGACTTGAGTCGGCGGAGGAGGTGGAGACGGAAACTGGAGGATTTGACAACTTCACTGACGTGTGGTTTCCAATTTAGTTTGTTGTCTGTGGTGACGCCGAGGAGCTTCGTGGAATCTACAACCTGGAGTGTGTTCGGACCTAAAGTAATGGAAGGAGGTGGGACAATGTCGGAGGAGAGGTTGATGTGCATAACCATTGTCTTGGTATGGTTGATGGTGACATGGTTGTTGGTGGCCCAGTTTTGGAGACTGTTCAATAAATCCTGAAGGGCGGTATAGTTGGGAGCGGAATTGTTGACGCTGATCCCAATGGTGGAGTCGTCGACATATTTCCAGCGAGCAGGGGCTTCTCTTAGGGCATCATTGATGAGCATAAGGAAGCAGAGTGGTCCCATCTTGGTGCCTTGGGGGACGCCACAGGTGAGTGACTGGAAGGTGGAGACAGCCCCTCGGAAGCGTACAACAGCGTCAGTCACTGAGGAATCTATGAAGCCTGGTATGAACTCTCGAAGCCCGGGTCAATAGCTTTGTTTATGATTATATTGTGGTCGACTAGGTCGAACGCTTTAGTGAAATCAATGAAGGCGACAGCTACAGACGTTTTTCGTTTCTCGAGATGGCGGTATATGTAATCGAGAAGGCTGACAAGACAGTGAGTGGTGGAGGAAGTTTTCATGTTGCCAAATTGCTGAGGGTCTACGACTCCTGCAATATCAACATAAGCCCAGTCAAACACAAAACTTTCACAGATTAGGCTGGGTATTGGGGTGATTGCAATAGGTCGTAGCTGATTTAAGGATTGTGGGCTGGTTGACTTGGGCACTGGTGATACATAAGAGGTCTTCCAGTCAGCTGGGCATCTGGCTTGACTGAGAGAAGCATTGATGATGGAGCAGAGGGGTTTAGCAAGCTCCGGGGAGAACTCCTTGAATAGTTTCATTGGTAAGTCAATGTGTGTGTGTGTGTGTGTGTGTGTGTGCGTTTGTTCATAATTATTCATAAGTTGTTATTACTTTGAAAACATTTAAATGGCTTAAATCTTTGTCAGTATCTTTAAATTAAGTTGGGAGAACGTTACTTAAAAAATAGTGCATATAACTGCATGTACAAGATCTTAATGTACACACGATGCGCAGATGGGGATTTGTAAGGAATTTATTTCCCTCGATTCGACCGAGTCATAAAAGACAATAAAGATGATATGCACTTGACCGTGAAATGTAATAGGAAATTAAGCAATATTATTGTGCAACATCTTCAAGAAGAGTATAAAGGTTGCAATACTAAGAGTGTGAGTCAGTACATCCAAAGTCAGCTCACAGGCAGCATGGTGAGAATCTCTCTACTGACACTATCGCGTGTTAATAATGTTTAGTTAGTGTTGAGTTTGGTGAAGAGTTAATTATTCTTGTTAAAGAGAAGTTATTAAACGTCTTCACAGATTAGAATCAATACCAAAAGATAAGACTTATTATTAATTAGTTTTATTCGAGGAAGATATTCGGTGAAAGATTTCACGTGTTTTATTTAGACTAGCCGCTAATAACACTGTTGGTAAAACAAAAGCAAGGATGCAACATATTATGCCGCAAGCAACACTCCGAGCTGCGTCATGACGTGCAAAATATAAAAGGCCCCGATCCAATAGAGAAGTCAGACGATTGGCGGGGAGTGCAGAGGCAACATGGTGAGCACCTCGTTACCTACTATCACAGGGCACAGTTATACAGTCACCTTTAAGTTTGCCGAATTGTACACAACGTTTGAGAAATGTGTTGATGAGAATGAAACGCACAAAATGCGGAACAGGTTTGTCCAAGTGCAAATAATTTATCTAAGAGAAATGAGTTAGACAAATACGAGACGAGAGAATAAACTTTAAGTCTAACCAATTACAATGGTTTTAAAGTGTTTTAGATATGTTACGTGTACTTGAAAATGTTCTTAGTGTAAACAATATCTCAGAAACAAAAATTTAAACATGTTCCAAACAGTAGAAAGGACAATCACGATACTCATCATTTGATGTGGGTGTACTTCACCAGATAAAATTAAAACTCTATTGAAAAATTTGAATGTTTTAAAAGTTATCTGGAATGGAAGCAGTTTTGGCCACAGGTATATTCCCATACAAAGACATTACACACACAAACGCAATACATAACATTAAGTCCATATATATTATGAGTTCTCTCAATAATCGTATTACCAAAAGTGTACCATCAACAGTTCTTCCACATATAATAGGTGAGACTTCATAAGGAACATTTACGTTCAAATGCCCCGAGAATAACATGACACAAATATAAGTATATTTAGTAATATTCAATCATAAACCTTGATATTTCAGAGGCGAAGTGTAGGCGTGGTGATCCTCGCCGTGTTGGTGGTAGCCTGTATTGCGGACTTCAGAGGTGGAGGAGGAAGCCATGGTGGAGGAGGAGGGGGAGGAGGTGGAAGCAGCTATAGCAGCGTAGGAGGTGGTGGCGGAGGTGGCCATGGAGGAGGAGGGGGAGGAGGAGGAGGAAGAGGAGGTGGAGGATATAGCGCTCCATCTGGTGGAGGTGGAGGATATGGTGGAGGCGGTGGTAGCGGAGGCGGTGGTGGAGGTTACGGTGGTTCCTCCAGCGGCGGCGGAGGGAACATGTACGGTGGTGGGTGGTGGGTGGAGGCGGCGTGGCGGGCCTTCTGTGGCAGTAGTGTGGTGGTGGTGGAGGATATGCAGATCTTTCAAGCGGCGGAGGCGGCGGAGGATACGGTGGATCCTCTGGTGGTGGAGGCGGCGGAGGATACGGTGGATCCTCTGGTGGTGCAGGCAGCGGAAGCGGTGGAGGTTACGGTGGTTCCTCTGGTGGTGGAGGCGGCGGAGGATACGGTGGATCCTCTGGTGGTGGAGGCAGCGGAGGCGGCGGAGGCTACGGTGGATCCTCTGGTGGTGGAGGCAGCGGAAGCGGTGGAGGTTACGGTGGATCCTCTGGTGGTGGAGGTGGCGGAGGCGGCGGAGGATACGGTGACCGGTGGTGGAGGCAGAAGCGGGCGTGGGGGAGGCATGTGATCTCTGGTGGTGGAGGGCGGCGGAGGACATGGATCTTCTGTGGAGGCAGCGGAAGCGGTGGAGGTTACGGTGGATCCTCTGGTGGTGGAGGTGGCGGAGGATACGGTGGATCCTCTGGCGGTGGAGGCAGTAGGTGGCGGAGTTGCTGTGATCCTCTGTGGTGGAAGTGAAAGGAGTGCTGGGTAGTGGATCATCATCTGGTGGTGGGAGGCGGTGGGCTAATGGTGTGGATCCTCTGGTGGTGGAGGCAGCGGAGGCGGCGGAGGCTACCGTGGATCCTCTGGTGGTGGAGGTGGTGGTGGCTACAGTGCATCCTCTGGTGGTGGAGGTAGCGGAGGCGGCGGAGGCTACGGTGGATCCTCTGGTGGTGGAGGCAGCGGTGGCAGTATGTATGGTGGAGGCGGCGGTGGCAATATGTATGGAAAGTAAATATTTCTACTATTCCACTGACGTACTCTTCTCTAACTTCCTACCTCTGGTATTAACAGTGTGGACATCGTCCTTCATCATATTGTCATCTACATGTATCAGCCAGATGACGCAACACATCATCTCTTCAGTTCATCATTCTATTACATTAAACTAATGTGATGTTAGTTAATTTACTGCACATTATAATCTATGTAATTTACTGTTTCTGTTACAAAAGTTTGTCTTATTTTTTCTATAAACGTGTGTACGATTATGTTGAGAAGTAAACTGTTAACTGAAATAATGCCCTTTATTTTATACGATTCATCACCTTCAATATTATACTGAGTGTATAAACTGTTAACTTTGAACGATGCCATTTATAATATATTCCTTCATCATTCTTCAATATACTGAGTGTATAATTGACTTATGGTATTACAAGTAACGGAATATATATTTTTAAGATATTCCCATGAAAACATGACTATGAATGTTTACTTTCCTCTATGGACCTTAAAATTGAAGAAAAAACAAAAAAAGTTTTACAAGATATAATTCAGCGACAGATACCTGGGTTAAACACATACGTCCATTTGATATATCAGTTTTATGTGAGGAAGTATGACTAATAAGGCCAATGAATCTATATTTTAAGGAATTTCGGATTAAAGGCAATACTAGGGAGACTGGTAAAAGATATATGGAACAGTTTCATGGCAAATGACATCGATTACTGGGCTCCATTCTTGTTAAATCGTACATTATGGCAGTGTCTATTCACTGTTCAATTGCTGCTTCCTAATAAATTTATTTAAAAAGAAACGGGACTTCATGTTTGGTTCAGGCTCTGGTGCTGAGGCGTTTGAGGTCTTTTTGCAAGACTAAAATATAATTAATGTAACAGAGCATTATAGTTAATGTTATCCAGAAGACATTAGTAAGGATATGTTTATTGTTAGCCCAATTAACCATCTGTTAAAATATCGATATTTTATTAATACACATAAACACATATATGGAAATAATTTAGCAGGTAAATGTATAACAGGGACTTCAAATATGGCAATGATAAGATTGACAAGTTTAACCTATTATTATTAGATGATATTTTATTATCATCCAGGTTATTATCTGTAAAGGAGATAAAGAATGGATGATTTACTGCATTGTAAAATATTTACAATATTTTCAATATTCTATAGAAAAAGTGTTGTAAGATTTATTTGAAGTATATGCTGTTAGGTTTTAATTAGCATATTTATTTTTTTATTGAAGTTAAGAAATATTTCGAAATAGATTCATAGAAAACTTTATATATGAAAAAGAATATTAATCATGATCCCCTTAGATAAAAAAATTTTTTCTTAGGAATATAATGAAAGATTAGTTACCTTATATACCTATGGATAACAAGAAGGAACCATTACACCCAATAACACACGGGTATCGACTCCATTAATTACCATTAGGTTTTTAATGCTCCTTAATTTTGCATCTCTGGTTACAGTGACTGTGTGTATTAGTTACACTGATATAACATCGTGGATGGAAATTACATATGCATGTTACACTCGGGAGAATTTGGATAATAACTTACAACTTCTATATTTCGATAATTAAACTTAACCAAGATTTATAATTGCTATATAGGTTTGATGGAGGTCTTACCATACACATGGGGTGATTACATCGGTAATGTAATTGATTACAATTACGATTGCGCTATAATTTTATGATTACGGTAAAGATGGATGTAATCGATTATGATACGATTTCATGATGCGTAATTATGATTACATTTATGATACTTCAAAAGGAAAGTGCATAAATAAACAAAAGTACTATAAAAATTCATTTTACAGACCTGTTTGTCAACCTGGTACAATTTAATCATATTTTCTGAGTGATGAAAAAGGTAGACATAATGGTGTGATTATTCAATAGACACGAAAACAAATCTTTAATAGATGGATCTAAATTTTCATAAGATTAATGTGGAAATCATGAATACAGAAATGTATTTGACCTAAATATCTCTGAAGTGTTCTGAAGTTTTGGAATATTATTAACACAAATGCTTATAGAACGGGAGTAATTTGGTTCTCTGATAAAATGAAATGTGTGGATTATAACAAAAATACTGTAATATTAAATTTCATATTTAACATTCATTTTTTCTTAGACAAGAATAATACGTCAAAGGTTGCGAAACATTGTGTCTATTCTTTCAAAGACAGTTTAAAGAACGATCTAATGCTATTCATTTACACAAATAAAACGTACAGAACATAATATACATTAATAACGTTAAGAAAATATTGATTGACTACACTTTCTCCGGACAGGTTACTAGGAGTTAGAATATTACAGACATAATGTAGATGGTGAATGTTTCCCGAGTCGTATAAAGGACCGAATGTAGTTGACAGTATTGAAGATCATGAGCTCAGTATTGTCAAATGAAATACCGGTTTGTACTTACTATTGTAATATAAATTTTACTAGTGTATATATCTATATGTATATATATAAATGCTTATTGAAAGGGCATGTCAGCCAAAAGGCTGAAAATATGTATGTGTGTGTGTGTGTGTGTGTGTGTGTGTGTGTGCGTTTGTTCATAATTATTCATAAGTTGTTATTACCTTGAAAACATTTAAATGGCTTAAATCTTTGTTAGTATCCTTAAAATAAGTTGGGAGAACGTTACTTAAAAAATAGTGCATATAACTGCATGTACAAAATCTTAATGTATACACGATGCGCAGATGGGGATTTGTAAGAATTTATTTCCATCGATTCGACCGAGTCATAAAAGACAATAAAGATGATATGCACTTGACCGTGAAATGTAAAAGGACATTAAGCAATATTATTGTGCAACATCTTCAAGAAGAGTATAAAGGTTGCAATACTAAGAGTGTGAGTCAGTACATCCAAAGTCAGCTCACAGGCAGCATGGTGAGAATCTCTCTACTGACACCATCACGTGTTAATGTTTAGTTAGTGTTGAGTTTGGTGAAGAGTTAATTAGTATTGTTAATGAGAAGTTATTAAAAGTTTTCACGATTAGAATCAATACCAAAAGATAGGACTAATGATTAATTTATTTTATTCGAGGAAGATATTCGGTGAAAGATCTCACGTGATTTATTTAGACTATCCGCGAATAACACTGTTGGTAAAACAAAAGCAAGGATGCAACATATTATGCTGCAAGCAACACTCCGAGCTGCGTCATGACGTGCAATATAAAAGGCCCCGATCCAATAGAGAAGTCAGACGATTGGCGGGGAGTGCAGAGGCAACATGGTGAGCACCTCGTTACCTCCTATCCCAGGGCACAGTTATACAGTCACCTTTAAGTTTGCCGAATTGTACACAACGTTTGAGAAATGTGTTGATGAGAATCAAATGCACAAAATCCGGAACAGGTTTGTCCAAGTGCAAATAATTTATCTAAGAATAATGAGTTCGACAAATACGAGACGAGAGAATAAACTTTAAGTCTAACCAATTACAATGGTTTTGAAGTGTTTTAGATATGTTACGTGTCCTTGAAAATGTTCTTAGTGTAAACAATATCTCAGAAACAAAAGTTTAAACATGTTCCAAACAGTAGAAAAGACAATCACGATACTCATCATTTGATGTGGGTGTACTTCACCAGATAAAATTAAAACTCTATTGAAAAATATGAATGTTTTAAAAGTTATCTGGAATGGAAGTAGTTTTGGCCACAGGTATATTCCCATACAAAGACATTACACACACAAACGCTGTACATAACATTAAGTCCATATATATTATGAGTTCTCTCAATAATCGTATTACCAAAAGTGTACCATCAACAGTTCTTCCACATATAATAGATGAGACTTCATAAGGAACATTTACGTTCAAATGCCCCGAGAATAACATGACACAAATATAAGTATATTTAGTAATATTCAATCATACATCTTGATATTTCAGAGGCGAGGTGTAGGCGTGGTGATCCTCGCCGTGTTGGTGGTAGCCTGTATCGCGGACTTCAGAGGTGGTGGAGGAAGCCATGGTGGAGGAGGAGGGGGAGGTGGAAGCAGCTATAGCAGCGTAGGAGGTGGTGGCGGAGGTGGCCATGGAGGAGGAGGGGGAGGAGGAAGAGGAGGAAGAGGAGGTGGAGGATATAGCGCTCCATCTGGTGGAGGAGGAAGTGGAGGTGGAGGACATGGTGGAGGCGGTGGTGGCGGAGGCGGTGGTGGAGGTTACGGTGGTTCCTCCAGCGGCGGCGGAGGGAACATGTACGGTGGTGGCGGTGGCGGAGGAAGTATGTATGGCGGGTCTTCTGGTGGCAGCAGTGGTGGTGGTGGAGGATATGGTGGATCTTCAAGCGGCGGAAGCGGCGGAGGCTACGGTGGATCCTCTGGTGGTGGAGAGGTAGTGAGTGCAAGTGGAGGACATGGTGGATCCTCTCGGTGGTGGAAAAGTATGGAGGATGGTGATCCCTCTGGGTGGTGGAGGCAGCGGAAGGTGGAGGTTACGGTGGATCCTCTGGTGGTAGGGTGGCGGAGGACACATGGATCCCTGTGTGGGAGGCAAGCAGTGGTGAGCACAGGATCCTCTGGTGGTGGAGGCAAGGGAGGACAGCGGTGGACCCTTCTGGCGGTGGGAGGCAAGTGGAGGCGGCGGAGGATACGGCGGATCCTCTGGTGGTGGAGGCAGAAGCAGCAGTGATCATCTGGTGGTGGAGGTGGCAGGCTACAGTGCATCCTCTTCTGGTGGTGGAGGCAGCGGAGGCGGCGGAGGCTACCGTGGATCCTCTGGTGGTGGAGGTGGTGGTGGCTACAGTGCATCCTCTGGTGGTGGAGGTAGCGGAGGCGGCGGAGGCTACGGTGGATCCTCTGGTGGTGGAGGCAGCGGTGGCAGTATGTATGGTGGAGGCGGCGGTGGCAATATGTATGGAAAGTAAATATTTCTACTATTCCACTGACGTACTCTTCTCTAACTTCCTACCTCTGGTATTAACAGTGTGGACATCGTCCTTCATCGTATTGTCATCTACATGTATCAGCCAGATGACGCAACACATCATCTCTTCAGTTCATCATTCTATTACATTAAACTAATGTGATGTTAGTTAATTTACTGCACATTATAATCTATGTAATTTACTGTTTCTGTTACAAAAGTTTGTCTTATTTTTTCTATAAACGTGTGTACGATTATGTTGAGAAGTAAACTGTTAACTGAAATAATGCCCTTTATTTTATATTGATCCATCACCTTTAATATACTGAGTGTATAAACTGTTAACTGTACGATGCCATTTATATTATATTCTTTCATCATTCTTCAATATACTGAGTGTATAATTGACTTATGGTATTACAAGTAACGGAATATATATTTTTAAGATATTCCCATGAAAACATGACTATGAATGTTTACTTTCCTCTATGGACCTTAAAATTGAAGAAAAAACAAAAAAAGTTTTACAAGATATAATTCAGCGACAGATACCTGGGTTAAACACATACGTCCATTTGATATATCAGTTTTATGTGAGGAAGTATGACTAATAAGGCCAATGAATCTATATTTTAAGGAATTTCGGATTAAAGGCTATACTAGGGAGACTGGTAAAAGATATATGGCACAGTTTCATGGCAAATGACATCGATTACTGGGCTCCATTCTTGTTAAATCGTACATTATGGCAGTGTCTATTCACTGTTCAATTGCTGCTTCCTAATAAGTTTATTTAAAAAGAAACGGGACTTCATGTTTGGTTCAGGCTCTGGTGCTGAGGCGATTGAGGCCTTTTAGCACGACTAAAATATAATTAATGTAACAGAGCATTATAGTTAATGTTATCCAGAAGACATTAGTAAGGATATGTTTATTGTTAGCCCAATTAACCATCTGTTAAAATATCGATATTTTATTAATACACATGAACACATACATGTAAATAATTTAGCAGGTAAATGTATTTCAGGGACTTCATATATGGCAATGATAAGATCGACAAGTTTAATCTATTATTATTAGATGATATTTTATTATCATCCAGGTTATTATCTATAATTATCTATAAAGGAGATAAAGAATGGATGATTTACTGTATTGTAATATATTTACAATATTTTCAATATTCTATAGAAAAAGTGTTGTAAGATTTATTTGAAGTATATGCTGTAAGGCTTTAATTAGCATATTTATTTTTTTATTGAAGTTAAAAAATATTTCGAAAAAGATTCATAGAAAACTTTATATATGAAAAACAATATTAATCATTAACCCCTTAGATATATAAAACTTTACTTAGGAGTATCATGAAAGAATAGTTAACTTATCTACCTATGGATAACAATAAGGAACCATTACACCCAATAACACACGGGTATCGACTCCATTAATTACCATTAGGTTTTTAATGCTCCTTAATTTTGCATCTCTGGTTACAGTGACTGTGTGTATTAGTTACACTGATATAACATCGAGGATGGAAATTACATATGCATGTTACACTCTGGAGAATTTGGATTATAATTTACAACTTCTATATTTCGATAATTAAACTTAACCAAGATTTATAATTGCTATATAGGTTTGATGGAGGTCTTACCATACACATGGGGTGATTACATCGGTAATGTAATTGATTACAATTACGATTGCGCTATAATTTTATGATTACGGTAAAGATGGATGTAATCGATTATGATTACCATTTCATGATGCGTAATTATGATTACATTTATGATTACTTCAAAAGGAAAGTTCATAAATAAACAAAAGTACTATAAAAACTCATTTTACAGACCTGTTTGTCAACCTGGTACAATTTAATCATATTTTCTGAGTGATGAAAAAGGTAGACATAATGGTGTGAGTATTCAATAGACACGAAAACAAATCTTTAATAGATGGATCAAAATTTTCATAAGATTAATGTGGCAATCATGAATACAGAAATGTATTTGATCTAAATATCTCTGAAGTGTTCTGAAGTTTTGAAATATTATTTACACAAATGCTTATAGAAGGGGAGTAATTTAGTGCTCTGATAAAATGAAATGTGTGGTATACTGCATACTCAGATATACTGAAAATATTACTTTCAATAAAGGTGGATTATAACAAAAATACTGTAATATTAAATTTCATATTTAACATTCATTTTTTCTTAGACAAGAATAATACGTCAAAGGTTGTGAAACATTGTGTCTATTCTATCAAAGACAGTTTAAAGAACGATCTAATGCGAGTCATTTACACAAATAAAACGTACAGAACATAATATATATTAATAACGTTAAGAAAATATTGATTGACTACACTTTCTCCGGACAGGTTACTAGGAGTTAGAATATTACAGACAAAATGTAGATGGTGAATGTTTGCCGAGTCGTATAAAGTACCGAATATAGATGACAGTATTGAAGATCATGAGCTCAGTATTGTCAAATGAAGTACCGATTTGTACTTAATATTGTAATATAAATTTTCTTAGTGTATATATATATATATATATATATATATATATATATATATATAAATGCTTATTGAAGAGCATGTGGCCAAAGGCTGAAAATATGTGTGTGTGTGTGTGTGTGTGGTGTGTGTGTGTGTGTGTGTGTGTGTGTGTGTGTGTGTGTGTGTGTGTGTGTGCGTTTGTTCATAATTATTCATAAGTTGTTATTACCTTGAAAACATTTAAATGGCTTAAATCTTTGTTAGTATCCTTAAAATAAGTTGGGAGAACGTTACTTAAAAAATAGTGCATATAACTGCATGTACAAAATCTTAATGTATACACGATGCGCAGATGGGGATTTGTAAGGAATTTATTTCCCTCGATTCGACCGAGTCATAAAAGACAACAAAGATGATATGCACTTGACCGTGAAATGTAAAAGGACATTAAGCAATATTATTGTGCAACATCTTCAAGAAGAGTATAAAGGTTGCAATACTAAGAGTGTGAGTCAGTACATCCAAAGTCAGCTCACAGGCAGCATGGTGAGAATCTCTCTACTGACACTATCGCGTGTTAATGTTTAGTTAGTGTTGAGTTTGGTGAAGAGTTAATTATTCTTGTTAAAGAGAAGTTATTAAACGTCTTCACGATTAGAATCAATACCAAAAGATAAGACTTATTATTAATTAGTTTTATTCGAGGAAGATATTCGGTGAAAGATTTCACGTGATATATTTAGACTATCCGCTAATAACACTGTTGGTAAAACAAAAGCAAGGATGCAACATATTATGCTGCAAGCAACACTCCGAGCTGCGTCATGACGTGCAAAATATAAAAGGCCCCGATCCAATAGAGAAGTCAGACGATTGGCGGGGAGTGCAGAGGCAACATGGTGAGCACCTCGTTACCTACTATCACAGGGCACAGTTATACAGTCACCTTTAAGTTTGCCGAATTGTACACAACGTTTGAGAAATGTGTTGATGAGAATCAAACGCACAAAATCCGGAACAGGTTTGTCCAAGTGTAAATAATTTATCTAAGAATAATGAGTTAGACAAATACGAGACGAGAGAATAAACTTTAAGTCTAAACAATTACAATGGTTTTAAAGTGTTTTAGATATGTTACGTGTACTTGAAAATGTTCTTAGTGTAAACAATATCTCAGAAACAAAAGTTTAAACATGTTCCAAACAGTAGAAAGGACAATCACGATACGCATCATTTGATGTGGGTGTACTTCACCAGATAAAATTAAAACTCTATTGAAAAATTTGAATGTTTTAAACGTTATCTGGAATGGAAGTAGTTTTGGCCACAGGTATATTCCCATACAAAGACATTACACACACAAACGCTGTACATAACATTAAGTCCATATATATTATGAGTTCTCTCAATAATCGTATTACCAAAACTGTACCATCAACAGTTCTTCCACATATAATAGGTGAGACTTCATAAGGAACATTTACGTTCAAATGCCCCGAGAATAACATGACACAAATATAAGTATATTTAGTAATATTCAATCATACACCTTGATATTTCAGAGGCGAGGTGTAGGCGTGGTGATCCTCGCCGTGTTGGTGGTAGCCTGTATTGCGGACTTCAGAGGTGGAGGAGGAAGCCATGGTGGAGGAGGAGGAAGCCACGGTGGAGGAGGAGGGGGAGGAGGTGGAAGCAGCTATAGCAGCGTAGGAGGTGGTGGCGGAGGTGGCCATGGAGGTGGAGGGGGAGGAGGAGGAGGAAGAGGAGGTGGAGGATATAGCGCTCCATCTGGTGGAGGAGGAAGTGGAGGTGGAGGACATGGTGGAGGCGGTGGTGGAGGTTACGGTGGTTCCTCCAGCGGCGGCGGAGGGGACATGTACGGTGGTGGCGGTGGCGGAGGAAGTATGTATGGCGGGTCTTCTGGTGGCAGCAGTGGTGGTGGTGGAGGATATGGTGGATCTTCAAGCGGCGGAAGCGGCGGAGGTTACGGTGGATCCTCTGGTGGTGGAGGCGGCGGAGGATACGGTGGATCCTCTGGTGGTGGAGGCAGCGGAGGCGGCGGAGGATACGGTGGATCCTCTGGTGGTGGAGGCGGCGGAGGATACGGTGGATCCTCTGGTGGTGCAGGCAGCGGAAGCGGTGGAGGTTACGGTGGTTCCTCTGGTGGTGGAGGCGGCGGAGGATACGGTGGATCCTCGGTGGTGGCGGCAGCCGGGCGGCGGAGGGTACGGTGGATCCTCTGGTGGTGAGCAGCAGAGTGGTGGAGGATACGGTGGATCCTCTGGTGGTGGAGGCGGCGGAGGATACGGTGGATCCTCTGGTGGTGCAGGCAGCGGAAGCGGTGGAGGTTACGGTGGTTCCTCTGGTGGTGGAGGCGGCGGAGGATACGGTGGATCCTCTGGTGGTGGAGGCAGCGGAGGCGGCGGAGGCTACGGTGGATCCTCTGGTGGTGGAGGCAGCGGAGGCTACAGTGGATCATCTGGTGGTGGAGGCGGCAGTGCTTCTGATGAATCCTCTGGTGGTGGAGGCAGCGGAGGCGGCGGAGGCTACCGTGGATCCTCTGGTGGTGGAGGTGGCGGTGGCTACAGTGCATCCTCTGGTGGTGGAGGTAGCGGAGGCGGCGGAGGCTACGGTGGATCCTCTGGTGGTGGAGGCAGCGGTGGCAGTATGTATGGTGGAGGCGGCGGTGGCAGTATGTATGGAAAGTAAATATTTCTACTATTCCACTGACGTACTCTTCTCTAACTTCCTACCTCTGGTATTAACAGTGTGGACATCGTCCTTCATCGTATTGTCATCTACATGTATCAGCCAGATGACGCAACACATCATCTCTTCAGTTCATCATTCTATTACATTAAACTAATGTGATGTTAGTTAATTTACTGCACATTATAATCTATGTAATTTACTGTTTCTGTTACAAAAGTTTGTCTTATTTTTTCTATAAACGTGTGTACGATTATGTTGAGAAGTAAACTGTTAACTGAAATAATGCCCTTTATTTTATATTGATCCATCACCTTTAATATACTGAGTGTATAAACTGTTAACTGTACGATGCCATTTATATTATATTCTTTCATCATTCTTCAATATACTGAGTGTATAATTGACTTATGGTATTACAAGTAACGGAATATATATTTTTAAGATATTCCCATGAAAACATGACTATGAATGTTTACTTTCCTCTATGGACCTTAAAATTGAAGAAAAAACAAAAAAAGTTTTACAAGATATAATTCAGCGACAGATACCTGGGTTAAACACATACGTCCATTTGATATATCAGTTTTATGTGAGGAAGTATGACTAATAAGGCCAATGAATCTATATTTTAAGGAATTTCGGATTAAAGGCAATACTAGGGAGACTGGTAAAAGATATATGGAACAGTTTCATGGCAAATGACATCGATTACTGGGCTCCATTCTTGTTAAATCGTACATTATGGCAGTGTCTATTCACTGTTCAATTGCTGCTTCCTAATAAATTTATTTAAAAAGAAACGGGACTTCATGTTTGGTTCAGGCTCTGGTGCTGAGGCGTTTGAGGTCTTTTTGCAAGACTAAAATATAATTAATGTAACAGAGCATTATAGTTAATGTTATCCAGAAGACATTAGTAAGGATATGTTTATTGTTAGCCCAATTAACCATCTGTTAAAATATCGATATTTTATTAATACACATAAACACATATATGGAAATAATTTAGCAGGTAAATGTATAACAGGGACTTCAAATATGGCAATGATAAGATTGACAAGTTTAACCTATTATTATTAGATGATATTTTATTATCATCCAGGTTATTATCTGTAAAGGAGATAAAGAATGGATGATTTACTGCATTGTAAAATATTTACAATATTTTCAATATTCTATAGAAAAAGTGTTGTAAGATTTATTTGAAGTATATGCTGTTAGGCTTTAATTAGCATATTTATTTTTTTATTGAAGTTAAGAAATATTTCGAAATAGATTCATAGAAAACTTTATATATGAAAAAGAATATTAATCATTATCCCCTTAGATATAAAAAAATTTTCTTAGGAATATAATGAAAGATTAGTTACCTTATATACCTATGGATAACAAGAAGGAACCATTACACCCAATAACACACGGGTATCGACTCCATTAATTACCATTAGGTTTTTAATGCTCCTTAATTTTGCATCTCTGGTTACAGTGACTGTGTGTATTAGTTACACTGATATAATATCGAGGATGGAAATTACATATGCATGTTACACTCTGGAGAATTTGGATAATAATTTACAACTTCTATAGTTCGATAATTAAATTTAACCAAAATTTGTAATTGCTATATAGGTTTGATGGAGGTCTTACCATACACATGGGGTGATTACATCGGTAATGTAATTGATTACATGTACGATTGGGTTATAATTTTATGATTATGATTATGATTACGGTAAAGGTGGATGTAATCGATTATGATTACGATTTCATGATGCGTAATTATGATTACATTTATGATTACTTCAAAAGGAAAGTGCATAAATAAACAAAAGTACTATAAAAACTCATTTTACAGACCTGTTTGTCAACCTGGTACAATTTAATCATATTTTCTGAGTGATGAAAAAGGTAGACATAATGGTGTGAGTATTCAATAGACACGATAACATATCTTTAATAGATGGATCTAAATTTTCATAAGATTAATGTGGAAATCATGAATACAGAAATGTATTTGACCTAAATATCTCTGAAGTATTCTGAAGTTTTGAAATATTATTAACACAAATGCTTATAGAAGGGGAGTAATTTAGTGCTCTGATAAAATGAAATGTGTGGTATACTGCATACTCTGATATACTGAAAATATTACTTTCAATAAAGGTGGATTATAACAAAAATACTGTAATATTAAATTTCATATTTAACATTCATTTTTTCTTAGACAAGAATAATACGTCAAAGGTTGTGAAACATTGTGTCTATTCTTTCAAAGACAGTTTAAAGAACGATCTAATGCTATTCATTTACACAAATAATACGTACAGAACATAATATACATTAATAACGTTAAGAAAATATTGATTGACTACACTTTCTCCGGACAGGTTACTAGGAGTTAGAATATTACAGACAAAATGTAGATGGTGAATGTTTGCCGAGTCGTATAAAGGACCGAATGTAGATGACAGTATTGAAGATCATGAGCTCAGTATTGTCAAACGAAGTACCGATTTGTAATTACTATTGTAATATAAATTTTCTTAGTGTGTATATATATATATATATATATATAAATGCTTATTGAAAGGGCATGTCAGCCAAAAGGCTGAAAATATATGTGTGTGTGTGTGTGTGTGTGTGTGTGCGTTTGTGTGTGTGTGTGTGTGTGTGTGTGTGTGTGTGTGTGCGTTTGTTCATAACTATTCATAAGTTGTTATTACCTTGAAAACATTTGAAATGAAACTGATCTTTTGTTAGTATCTAACCAAATAAGTTGGAGAACGTTACGTAAAAATAGTGCATATAACTGCATGTACCAAAATCTTAATGTATACACGATGCGCAGATATAGGGAGTTTGTAAGGAATTTATTTCCATCCAGTTCGACAAGGTCATAAAAGACAATAAAAGATGATGTGCACTTGACCAAAGTGAGGAAATGTAATAGGACGTAAAAGCAATATTATTGTGCAACATCTTCAAGAAGAGTATAAAGGTTGCAATACTAAGAGTGTGAGTCAGTACATCCAAAGTCAGCTCACAGGCAGCATGGTGAGAATCTCTCTACTGACACCATCACGTGTTAATGTTTAGTTAGTGTTGAGTTTGGTGAAGAGTTAATTAGTATTGTTAATGAGAAGTTATTAAAAGTTTTCACGATTAGAATCAATACCAAAAGATAGGACTAATGATTAATTTATTTTATTCGAGGAAGATATTCGGTGAAAGATCTCACGTGATTTATTTAGACTATCCGCGAATAACACTGTTGGTAAAACAAAAGCAAGGATGCAACATATTATGCTGCAAGCAACACTCCGAGCTGCGTCATGACGTGCAATATAAAAGGCCCCGATCCAATAGAGAAGTCAGACGATTGGCGGGGAGTGCAGAGGCAACATGGTGAGCACCTCGTTACCTCCTATCCCAGGGCACAGTTATACAGTCACCTTTAAGTTTGCCGAATTGTACACAACGTTTGAGAAATGTGTTGATGAGAATCAAATGCACAAAATCCGGAACAGGTTTGTCCAAGTGCAAATAATTTATCTAAGAATAATGAGTTCGACAAATACGAGACGAGAGAATAAACTTTAAGTCTAACCAATTACAATGGTTTTGAAGTGTTTTAGATATGTTACGTGTCCTTGAAAATGTTCTTAGTGTAAACAATATCTCAGAAACAAAAGTTTAAACATGTTCCAAACAGTAGAAAAGACAATCACGATACTCATCATTTGATGTGGGTGTACTTCACCAGATAAAATTAAAACTCTATTGAAAAATATGAATGTTTTAAAAGTTATCTGGAATGGAAGTAGTTTTGGCCACAGGTATATTCCCATACAAAGACATTACACACACAAACGCTGTACATAACATTAAGTCCATATATATTATGAGTTCTCTCAATAATCGTATTACCAAAAGTGTACCATCAACAGTTCTTCCACATATAATAGATGAGACTTCATAAGGAACATTTACGTTCAAATGCCCCGAGAATAACATGACACAAATATAAGTATATTTAGTAATATTCAATCATACATCTTGATATTTCAGAGGCGAGGTGTAGGCGTGGTGATCCTCGCCGTGTTGGTGGTAGCCTGTATCGCGGACTTCAGAGGTGGTGGAGGAAGCCATGGTGGAGGAGGAGGGGGAGGTGGAAGCAGCTATAGCAGCGTAGGAGGTGGTGGCGGAGGTGGCCATGGAGGAGGAGGGGGAGGAGGAAGAGGAGGAAGAGGAGGTGGAGGATATAGCGCTCCATCTGGTGGAGGAGGAAGTGGAGGTGGAGGACATGGTGGAGGCGGTGGTGGAGGTTACAGTGAGGTTCCTCCAGCGGCGGCGGAGAAGGTATGTGCAGTGGTGGCAGTGGCGGAAGGAAGTATGTATGTGGTCTTCTGGTGGCAGTGGTGGTGGTGGAGGATATGAAATTGGATCTTCAAGCGGCAGGGAAGCGGCAGGAGGCTACAGTGGATCCTCTGGTGGTGGAGGCAGCAGGAGGGATGCAGTGGATCCTCTGGTGGAGTGCA